ACTTCAATGGCACCAAAACCCTAGCCACTATAGAAAACCCCAGCCACAGAATTATCAGAGAAGCCATAGAGATTGAAAAAAGACCTGAAAGCATGAATAGAAGAGATGACTCCACCAGATTTGTCAATTATCTGGAAGCCTGCACTCACAAACAAAAAAATCTCCACACCACAAGCCAGGCAAACACCTGGGCACAAACAGATCCCCCCTGATATCTCCAGCTCAAACACATCCCAACCAGGCACCCAGATGAAACCTAGCTTCCTAATAAATGATAGCCGTCTGTTTACTCGGAGCCAAGCCGCACTAAAAGCCTCCAATACAGGAAACACAACATTGCCAGCCAATCAAGACAAAAAAAGCCACAAAACAGACAGAAGATATTAGAAACACCAATCAAGCAGAACACAGCAAACTCCATGGTTATATACCATGTTCAAGGTTGTGATTCCATGCTTAATTGAACAAATAATTTCAGAAATAATCTATAAGAATCCAAAACAGTGTCTGTTATGGTAGTAGAAATCATCATGGCTGAATTTAATATAAGCAGTTTTAACTTGTAACTCATTAGAAATCTTATGAAAATCTCAGAATGAATCCCAGATTTAGTTAATCTATCAACAAATGAGAGCTTGTACTACTGAATCCCATACTGTTGCAGCATAAGAAGCATAAGAGTTCATCTTTGATCTGATTTATTTGACAAATCTAGCAGTGATGGAATTCCAAGGCTCCTCAACAAACAAATTGTCACACTTGACTATTTATTCTTACTAGACAATTTCGATTATTGTTTCAGAGATAGATATTTTTCCTTACCAGATTCCTTAATGTCTTCAACAAAGCCACCTTTCTTAACAGATCCTGACAGTCCTTTTTACTTTTTCATTTTAGTCAAACAAATGCTCACAAAAGTGTTCCATTAGTTTTGGGAAAATGTGTCATATATAGCAATTAAGGAATATTGGTGAGATCCAAAGGCCTCTTGTGTGGCCTGTGAGGTGTGAAGCCTAGAATTGTTGTATTGCAGCTGAATTTTCTTCTTATGAAATGCCAATCTTGAAATCAATTTTGCTTTGAGATATTCATCAACTATTTTAACTAGTTCATCCTAAAGTGAACTGACTTAGAGTAACTGTAGAGTTACATGTCAGGAAAAATAGGAATGCAACCTTTCCTATAACAATCTCTTGACAATTAAAACACAATAACAAATGCTAAAAAAACATGACAAAGCTCCTAGTGCATCAATATTACCAACTAAGAACACTGAATGCATTATTTTTTATTCAACCCTTGCAATTTTTCAGTACCTGAAATGTCTTCAAGCAGAAGTTGTTCCAAAGAACTGGATAGAAAATGTTAGTTTTTGCCAGCAGTTTTGTTTTATTTTTATTTTGCTTCATCTCAGCAGATGGTGGACACTGCTTCTCTGGAAATAATTCAGCAGGGGCTTGACAACATCCATTTGCAATAGTTTAATAAAAGACTCCTCAAACTTTCAATGCATAAGTTGCATTTTTAAAGTGCTTTGGTGCAATTAGCTTTTTCTCTGGTAATATCACACTACTAACTAGAGCATACAAAACATTTGCTAGACCAATACTTGAAGACAGCTCATCAGTCTGGAACCCACATTATGTATCTAATATTAACACAGTTGAGAAAGTCCAGAAATATTTCACAAGAAGAGTTCTCCACTCCTTTACTCTCATTGCAGCATACCTTATGCCACCAGACTTGAAATTGTAGACCTAGAAAACCTAGAACTACACCGCCTTCGGTCCGATCTAAGTATAGTATATAAAATCATACATTGCAATGTCTTACCTGTCAATAAATACTTCAGCTATATATAACAATACAAGAGCACACAATAGATACAAACTCAAGGTAAACCGCACCAAACTTGATTGTAGGAAATACGACTTCAGCAACAGAGTGGTCAATGTCTGGAATACTCTACCTGACTCTGTGGTTTCTTCCCCAAACCCCAAAAACTTTAACCTTAGACTGTCTACTATTGACCTCACCTCATTCCTAAGTCTGTAGGGGGCGTGCATAAGCACACCAACATGCCTACCATCCCTGTCCTATTGTTTCTTTTTATTTTTCTTATATGTATCCATTTCATGTATTCATAACTATCCTTATACTTATACCTATTATCTTGTAAGCGATTGACAAATCAAATAAATAAAAATAAAAATAAATAAATTACCCAAAGAGAGTAAGAAGTGAGATAAAATAAGGGAAAAAGAAAAAATAGCAGAAAATGGAGAAGAAAACAGAGAAGTTGGGGAAATGAAGGGAGTAGAGAAGAAATTATAATAAATAGAGGAATATTTTTTCTATAATGCTACTGAATAAAAGAAATCACTTAATTCTCTTGCAAAGGGAAGAGATATGTAAAGGAAACTCAAAATGATACCAAAAGTTCAATTGTTCTCCATACTTTTTATCGTAGATCCTAGGTGAAGAAAGGCTAAGTCTCCAATAACCTTTCAAATTTTAGTTTTCATTCTTGAGATGAGACAAGTTTAGAGTATCACTAAAAATAAGTGTAAGACTAATTTGTATAATTTAAATGTCTTCAATTAGGAAAGGGGTGACCTCACCCCTTTCCTAAGAGGTCTGTAGGGGGCGTGTATAAGCGCACCAACGTGCCTACCGTCCCTGTCCTATTGTTTCTCTTATTCTTTTATTTTTCTTATATGTACCCATTTCATGTATTCACAACTATGTATACACTTATACTTATTATCTTGTAAACAATTGGCAAATCAAATAAATAAATAAATAAATAAATAAATAAATATGGGTTTTTCTCGATTTGTCTCAATATTTGGAGCTTAGGTGAGTGAACACAACAGTGACATCTGTTAAAATAAAATCTGTATTTTGCCTGTAATCTCAAGACCTCAAGATTCATTTGTCAAGCTACCTATAACATCAATATTTCTGTGTAATTAAAATATGTTTATTCCCTCAGGCAGATGTAGCACATTTCCTCTCTGTGCATTGGCTGCTGAGTTAGTGCTTGCTTAGTAATTTTATAGCTCATTTATTCTAAAAATGTGAATTGCTGAAGCAGAATATATTTTAATAAATAGTGGTATCTGTGAGAAAATTAGAATTTTATAGTGAATAATATTTATTTATTTGTAAATATAGGTCCCATGTCCTAGTGATGCAGATATCAAAAAATTATTAACCAACAGAGAGGTATCAACAAACTATCGACAAAGATACACAGGAGTAGTGCCCTCCAATCTTTTTATTATTTCTGATGATGAAGATGCATTAGCAGCAATGAAGTGGCTAAAAGAAAAAGTGATTGATTCCACAGGTAACAGTGTTGCCAGTTCTAATACATGAAAATAGCAGAGGCTTATGTATTTCTTGGCAAGTTGTATCTTCATTGCTAGCATATAATTATAGCTTAATTAATCCTTGCAAACTGTTTCATTTATTGTCCAGATTAATTTACAATTTACTGTCAGTTTTTGAGACATTTATATTTCTTGCCTGGAACAAAGATTGAAAATAAGAATTACCTATAATTAATTTATGAAATTAGATTAACTGAAATGAAAGACCTAAGCACAAAGTCTGGGATTCTTAATTAACATATGAGAAAGTAATATCATTAAATATGTTTTGGAACTACACATAAGGTTTTTTTAGACTGAAAAAGCTGAAAATAAAAGAAAATTGGACCTTTGGGCATTCAGTGTAGAACTATCTGCATACTGTAAAACATGGGTGTCAAACTCAGTTTCATTGAGGGCCGCATCAGGGTTGTGTTTGACCTTGGTGTTGGAGTGGGCATGGCCAGGGTGGGCATGGCCAGCTCAATGTCTGTTTTTGCCCGTGACGGCCTCCTACAGCCCTCTGCCAGTGAAAATGGAGTTGGGGGGCGTGTGAGGCTCCCCTGAGCTCCCTTTTCACTTAGAAGAGGCATTATGGGATGGCCCTTCACTATTTCTAGGGTGGCCTCGTGATCCAGATCTAAGCACTCCACGGGCCTTGAGTTTGACATCCCTACTGTAAAAGGTACTACAGTTGGCTAATGCATGTTATGTTTATATGGATACAAATGCACCCTTTCATTAAGTTGCATGTACCTGATTTACCAAGGCAGCTTCTATATTTGGCTTGGGTTCTGTAAATCTACCTATATTTGCAGTACCCCGAAATGGAATGGGATTACAAAAATATTCAAAGCAAGAAATAGATCTGCTTCATTTTTCAGCATATAGATATGGAATGAGATTGTATATAAGAAAATAAAAGAAGAATAAGAGAAACAAAAGGACAGGGACGGTAGGCACGTTGGTGCGCTTATGCACGTCCCCTACAGACCTCTTAGGAAAGGGGTGAGGTCAATAGTAGACAGTCTAAGGTTAAAGTTTTTGGGGTTTGGGGAAGAAACTACAGAGTCGGGTAGAGTATTCCAGACATTGACCACTCTATTGCTGAAGTCGTATTTCCTGCAATCAAGTTTGGTGCGGTTAACTTTGAGTTTGTATCTATTGTGTGCTCTTGTGTTGTTATGGTTGAAGCTGAAGTATTCATTGACAGGTAGGACATTGCAATGTATGATTTTATATACCATGCTTAAATCAGACCGAAGACGGCGTAATTCAAGGTTTTCTAGTTCTAGAATTTCAAGTCTGGTGGCATAAGGTATTCTACAACGAGTAGAGGAGTGGAGAACTCTTCTTGTGAAATATTTCTGGACTTTCTCAATTGTGCTAATATCAGATACGTAGTGTGGGTTCCAGACTGATGAACTGTATTCGAGTATTGGTCTAGCAAATGTTTTGTATGCTCTGGTTAGTAGTGTGATATTACCAGAGAAAAAGCTACGTAGGATTAGGTTAACAACTCTTAATGCCTTTTTGGCTATGTAGTTGCAGTGGGCTCTAGCACTTAGATCATTAGAGGTGAGTATTCCAAGGTCCTTTACAGAGCTTGGGTCATCAACAAGATCTTGACTATTCAGCTTGTATTTTATTTTCTGATTTTTTTTGCCAATATGTAAGACAGAGCATTTATTTGTTGAGATTTGAAGTTGCCATTTGTTTGACCATTCTGATACATAGTCAAGATCTTTTTGTAGGGTAGCAGTATTGTCTGTGGTATTGAACAGCTTTACATCATCAGCGAAAAGAACGCAATTGCTCTTAATATGATCACAGAGGTCATTTATGTAGAGTATGAAGAGAGTTGGTCCTAGAACACTGCCTTGGGGGACACCACTATTGACAGGTACTGGATTTGATAGGACGCTCCC